CTGGTAGGGAGGTATGCTCATAACCAGGATTCCTTCCTTGTGTAGGTCAGCCACCACGGCATAGATTTGAATAGAGGGTGCCCAGTCTGAAAAGCTTGACAGACTGTCGACTTGCAAGAAGAGGAAAGATCTGGTTTTGAAATGGCCACATATGCAGGGTTTATAATTCAAATTATTTTAAGAGTTAAATTGCCAAGCATGGAGAAATGTATTGAATGTGTTTGAGTATCTCATGGGCTCTTTGCCCTAAAAATGAGCCATTTTTCATCCTGGAGTGGGCAAGTGACTGTAGTGGCATTGTGCTCTGTAAGAGAACATAAAATATAGGGTTGTTCTTTTTTTTCTTTTTTTTCTTTTTTTTCTTTTTTTTCTTTTTTTTCTTTTTTTCCTTTTTTTTCTTTTTTTTCTTTTTTTTTTCCTTTCCTTTTTTTTTCAAAACTATTTTATTCATGCTTTCTCTTCCCCTCCTCCTTTTTTTTTTTCTTTCTTCTTTTTCTTTTTTCTTTCTTTTTCTTTTTTTTCTTTTTTCTTTTTTTTCCTTTCCTTTTTTTTTAAAAAAAACTATTTTATTCACGCTTTCTCTCCCCCTCCTCCTTTTTCTTTTTCTTTCTTTTTCTTCTTTTTTTTTGCTGCTCTTGGGTTGTTTGTCACACTCTTAGTATGGAGTAGGGTCTGGGAGGGTGGCACTGAGCTGGTACAGGTCCAGCAGAACGGCATGTTAAGGTCCCTACTCTTTAGCCATGCCTGGTCAGCCTTTACAACATGGATTGCTTCTGTGTCACTTCAAACCCTGCTGTGAGGGAGTAATCCATTTTGGAAAGAAGGATGGGTTAAAGCTCTGGAGGTTTGATATGGAGCACCAGTACTTAAAATATAGCCAGAATGCATTACTTGTCTCTGGAAGACCTTTTTTTTTTTTTTTTTTTTTTTTTTTTTTGCCTGAAAAGCCCCCAAATAGGCTCCATGTGGTTCTGGGTAAAGTCAGCCCCTGGCTTGGCTTTGAAATTGCTTCTGCAATTATGTAAAAGAGCCATTCAGCAACACGGCAGAATTAAAAAAGCGAGATTGGAGGGCTGCTCCCTTTTTTCTCCGGCGAGCCCTCTCATGTTGGCCGGCTCAAAGCCTTTTCCAACACGATGTCTTTGGCGAGGACAAAAGCTAGAACAAAAAAAAAAAAAAAAAA